TATGTTCTGAATTTAATTGGACAGTGCATTCAAAGGTCAAATAATAATAGTGTTATGAAATCTAAAAACATGACAGAGTGCACATGGGTTTACAATTTGCAGTTGGTGTTGGTTGCAAGCTGATGGTTTGTTGTTTTTTTTCTTCTTCTTTAAGTATCTGCCAATTCCAAATCCAAGCCCGACAATATTATTTTTATGAATTCATGCTTTTCTTTTGCAGTTTTGCCTTTACCTTTTGCTTTCATAGATGATCTTTAGTCTTTTCATTTTGACCCATACAACACAAAACAACAGAACTAAATGAAATATTATGTTAAAACAGATACCAAATATAACTCTCACAAGCATTTCATCAAACATATTTCAAACAAATCTATCAATCCACCAACATAACAAATCCATCAATCCACTAGCCCCTATTACTACTACTCACACACCAGCACAAACACAAACAAATCACCAACATACAAGATTCAAAGAGAGTTAAAAAGAGAAGAGAAGAAGTGTGTAGCTTGAGGCTTGAAGAGTTGAAGTCTTGGACTTAAAGCTTGGAGAAGAGAGTTAAAAAGAGAAGAAAAGAAGAGATCAAGACTCAAAGAGTCAAGAGATGAAGAAAAAAGAGTTGAATTGTTGAAGATTTGAAGAAGAGATGAAGACTGTGGAAGAGAGAACCGAGGACGATGAAGGAGATTTTTTTTAATTTTAGTCAAACCCAACCAAAACGACATCGTTTTGCCTTATCATTTAATTATTTTTTTGTCTACAAAAATTCGGCAAAAATTCGCGTATAATTCACGAATTATACGGATAGGGTATATAATTCGCGAATTATACAGCAGGCCTAATAAAATACGTGAATTCACGTTTTATACGGGAATTATACGGCTAGCCGTATAATTTGCATATAAAACGCGAATTTACTAACTAGGCTAACTGGTGCTTTCCCCTCACGAAATCTTCTAGCCTGTAATCTTTCCCACCATGCAAAAGTTCCTCCCTTCAACCTACATGCAGCCAATTTCACCCTTCTGCCCTCTGGGATCTCTATATATTCAAAAAACCCATCTACTTTTGCCATCCAATCCAAAAATTCCACAATATCTAAATTTCCTCTAAAGCAAGGGATATATACGTTTAATCAGAATTCTTTGGATTCTCTGTCACCATATTTATTTCTACCATACTTCATGTTCCCTTCATCCTTGGTACGTTGCCTTTCATCATCCCTATTTTTGTTGGCATCTACGCTCAAAGCATCAAGTCAATCTGTAATTTCTTCAAAGTGTCGTTCCAAACGCTGGAATCTGAGATCTATTCGTTGCTTCAAAGCTCTCAACGCCACCCTTTGAAAGGTCTCAGCTCCCTGATCTTCGTCATGAGAATTGCCGCCACCTACAACTTCATCACTTGCCATTAGATCCGAATTTTGTCTTCTTTGATACCAAATGACGCAGTGAGATAGCATGATAAAATAAGGCTAGCACTCAATTATACGTTTAGAAATGATAATACAAGTCTCAATTTAGAAACTTAAACCTTAAAATTTGAAGTAAAATCTGAATAATTTATTGAATATTATATATCTTCAGAAGAAACAAATAATATGTTTATATAGGATGGTTACAGCCAACCCTAACAAGACTCTAATTAACAAGAAAATAAAATCCTACTTAAACACGAAAACTAATTAAAAAAAGAAATCCCAACGGTTGACTAATTATAAAATAAGAAAGTCAAATTTAACTTAATTAAAACTTCCTAAATCAACTAAACTTTTAATTAAAATGGAAAACTACTTGAATTCCTAATATGAAACCCTAATTGAAAAAGAAAATCAAATAAAGAAATGGAAACAAAATTAAATCCTAATTTAACACTACTTTCCCTACATCAAGTCCAGCGGTAAGGGTGAACCAAGGAGGCTATGTATGGCTTCAACCCACAATCTTAGATTCGATTCCCCGTTGGGAGGCCGCAATCCTACGTTCGATTCTCCGTTGGGGGGCTGCAGCGGTGGGTTTCTGTGGGATCAAGTTTTATTATTTGTAAGCAACGATTCATGTTTTTGTTTAAAAGCTTCAACTTTACTGTGGTTGCCTTGACTGATTTTAGCGTGTATGAGTAAGAGGTGACTCAATAGACACATAGCAAAGCTATTAATAGCCGATCCATTGCATAGGAAGAGAACAGTTGGTAACGAGGAACCAAATATTTGTTGCAGGTCAATGGTAGAAATTTTCCTTGCTCAGGACATTTCGAATCATGGTACTGGAAATATAGAAAAGAGCTCATCATGAATTAAATCTTGAGGCACTAAGAATAATCCCTGATATGGCCTGTAGGCTATGGAAGAAATTGCCATTATGTAGAAAGTTGAGTTCTCTGTACTGGAATGAGGGTAACAGTTAATTAAATCTTAAGACACTAATCCAAACATCATTTATTTTTTCCATAAACTTCAGAATTGTAAAGGAAAACACATAATTCAATTCACAGGTGTGTTAAGCAAGCATAATTTGCATCATTTATTCATCAAATAGTTGCAATGCTGAAACCGGACAATACATTTTCTATTAAACATGCTGTAGAGTAGTGACAGGTTATAGATTTCAATTATCAAACTCCATCAATGATTCCTACACCCCACATAGAATGTATTTTAATTAGACACATCAATGTCTTTGAGTTCTTTCTTCAAGAGGAAGACAGAAGTAAGAGTTGCATCTGATTTCAAGGAAGTCCCCAACAGCTCCTGGACCTGAAATGGAAAGAAAATCATTATAAACCTAAAGATATATTTTCAAACTGAAGTTTTAACAGATTAGGACCATAATATTCCCACCAAAACACTTCAGACCTACTAATTCATTGATTGCGGAACCATGTTATTAATCAACATACCATCAGTTTGAACCATTGTTTCTCAAGACTAAACAGAATTTAAACAATACAAAGAAGCCAGAGATGAACTCCTTACCTCATCAGCGCCAAATTCAACAACTCTTTTCTCCAGGGTACCAATATCCTTAACATTTTCCTGTATGATCAGATCAATGCTAGATATCATTGACCCAGGCGTCACTAACAAGTCATCTGTCACCATATAAGTAACCAATTTATTTACAATACCACCCTCACAAACTGAATCCATCTTCAACAAGCTGACCACTTCGTAAGACATAGAACAACAACATTGAGGACAAATTTTGCTAGTTTCATCTGCCACATACCGGCAACGGTTAGGACAATTGTAAATTTTTTTCTGCTTTGGTTGTGAACTACCTCCGGGCAACAGCAAGGCAGAAGTTTTCTCTTGGGTTTTCAATAACTCAAGTTTGTTTTGATTAGGTTGCAAGTAATCTTTATTCAGGTTTTCAAGGCTTGGGTACAGATTTCCGATGCAGCCAACCATGTTTGCATCGTGGAGAAGCTTGATGACAGTTCCTAGTTTCAAAGAGAGAAGACTGAACAGAATGTCCACGAAATCTTTTCCGGCTTCTGCAAAGAGCACTTTGTTAGCTCCTTTATCTATCATTAACTTCAACCTTAACTTGTTTGGGGGTGTGGTGGTTGTTGCCATGACTGATAATTGTCCACACAGAGAAGAGAAACGGTGGGCAAATAGGGGCAAAAAGATTTGTAACACACAAAGTTTGGTTCCCCTTCTTGCATGCCATTAGTACTTTATATAGGAAGTGATATAGTCCATATATATTTATTAATATAAAATCGAATATTCTCTATAAATTTCTTTAAGTTTGGTACTACTTTTTCTTTGTTTGATTAGGACATTTAGAATCATAGTACTATGAATTGTTCCCCATTCATAATTCAATCCTTTACGTAGCTTGTAGGCTATGGGATTGATTACCTTGCTTTAGAATATATAAACTCTTCCTACTGGGAATGACGCCAGGAAAAGTCAAGTTAAATCTTGGCATCGAAATTTCCCTCGTTTACTTCTACCTCATATTAATTAACTAGCATATATAGGAGTCAATTGATTCTATCATCATTTCAACAAGTAAATTAACTGTAGATTAAGCGAGCACAATATACATCATAGTACATCAAAGAGTTGTTTGTAATATCACGTGCAATGCAGAAACCAGGAAACATATATATACTTGTTCTGTTTAACAAAAGGGTAGTGATTTTATAGCTTTCATGTCAAACTCCACTGAAAAGATAAATTTTTTTATTTTTTCTACTTTTTATATTCGAGATGTTCAGACCAGTTTGCTCGTACTTTAACTAATCTGTGAGATCTATTAAACACCCTACAAGCCTAATGTTTTAGGTAAACCGCATTATTTGAGGCCAATAAATCAATAAAAAGAGCAAACCTTCTTAACCATCAGACAAAATGTTTGGGTTTTTAAAAAAAATATACACTGACCAATGTGAAAAGACAAATTCACATTCTTGTAATTTTGTTTGTGAGAGTTTAGGTCTGAATTTTGACATCATATGGCATTTGTTAAAATCCTAGTTTACTGGCACATATTCACATTAAAAGATAATTTTTTGGTATATTATACAAATTAGTAATTTAACCAAAATTTTATCTTTTAGTATTTATTTGAAATAATAATTACCATTAACGAATCTTTTAAATATTGAAAGTCTGCATTTAAATATATATATCCTCAAAATTAAATGATATTTAAAAATCAAGGTGGTCATGTCATAACATCTCCAACATTGATTAGTAATTGCTTAGTCTAAAGATTATAAATTGATAATTAAAAAAAAAAAAAAAACATGTGATTGTAAGTATGCGTTGATCTTGCCTTACATTTATCGCATTAAGTTTACATAAATTCCATTTAGTAGTAATAGACTTCCACATAATTAAGATAAAAACACTTCCACCAAATAAGCAACGATTCATCTTTTTGTTTTATAGTGTTTATAAGTGGATCTTAAAATCACAAATGTCCTTAAAGTTGTAGTTAATATAAGTACAAATATTATTCTATAAGCTAGTTTCAGGAGCATTTTAAGAAGGCAATAATATACTTTTATTTATCAATATTATAACTTTGGCAGAATACTACCAAATAACAATGGTAAGATTCACCTATTTGCTTCCACACCAAAGCACGACTGCAGTACATTTATTAAAATGTGGAATACTGCTAACTACACTATTCCAGCCGAGTCAAGTTCGAGCTTCTCAATACTAGGCTGGGCAGGCTGGGATCAGCTCCATTAATAAGGTTCTGATTGTGCACAAGGTGGGATCGAGTGCATTAAAGGCTCTCTACTGTGATACAAATGCTGCGGTGCTTGCAGCTCCATTGAAGCCTTTCTGCTGTGATACGAACGCCACGATGCTTCCGGCTCCATTAAAGTCTCTCTGCGGTGCGGTGTTTGTTGTACTGTGCCCTGATACAAACTTGTTAAGACTTTTTCGCATTCCAATGATAACTTCAGCAGCCTTAGACCCTAACAAAGGAGATAGAAACTTAGCATCATGCCCTGTTTTAGTATATGCTGCGCCGGAAAAAGGTAGCCGGAACGCAAGAAAACTCTCACCCAGCGCAGGGCATAACCTGCGCCGTATATTCCGTTTGTGACTGGATAGTGAAATTGTCATATGTAAATTGTTGATATGTATTTATAGAGAATAGCAAAAGGGGAAAAGAAATGGACTTACCTCATCAGCCCCCAGTTCCACATCCATCTTTTCAAGTTCATCAATTTCGACGTTGGACTTGTTAAGCAAAGAAAATAAATTTTCAGGAGAAATAGGCATAAACTCCAAATCATCCGTCACCATGAAACTCACAAAACTCTTAACAAATCCTCCTTCAACCAGCCCAGTGTTCTCAAGCGACGGGGGTACATAATACAATGGGCCGGTCATTTTCTTGTTGCACGAAGGACAAAGCAAGTTTGGAACATCAGTTATGTTATGATAATGAGAGGGGCAAGAGTATACCATTCGAGTGTGCGAATCATAATCACAAAGCAAAAGAGGGACTCCTGTGGCTGCAGATCTTGGAGCTCTAGGATTTAGTAGTGAATTCTTGGTTTGGTTTGGTTGGAAGAAGGATTCACTGAGATTTTCAACGCTTTTATAGAGGTTACTTAGGGAACCCACCGTGCCTTTCCCTTTTAAGAGCCTAGCCACAGTACCCACTGGCAAAGAAAGAAAGTAGACCAGAAAATCTATGAAGTCTTTGCCGGCTTCTGCGAAAATAACCTTCTCAGCCCTTGTGTCAACAAAAAGCTTCAACTTTACTGTGGTTTCCATGGCTGATTTTGGCGTGTATTAGTAAGAGGTGACTCAATGGACACATAGCAAAGCTATTTATAGCCGATCCATTGCGTAGGAAGAGAACAGATGGTGATGAGGAGGAATCAAATATTTGTTGCAGGTCAATGGTAGAACCTTTCTTGCTCAGGAATTTCGAATTTTGGTACTGGGAATTTAAAAAAGAGCCTATCATGAATTAAATCTTGAGGCACTAGGAATAATCCTTTTCTTGGCTTGTAGGCTATGCAAGAAATTGCCTTTATGTAAAGTTTAAGTTCTCTGTACTGGAATGAGGCTTCCATAAACTTCAGAAATGTAAAGGAAACACATAATTCAATTCACAGGCGTGTTAAGCAAACATAATTTGCATCATTTATCATCAAATAGTTGCAATGCTGAAACAGGACAATACATTTTCTGTTAAACATGTTGCAGATTAGTGACAAGTTACAGATTTCAATCAAACTCCATCAATGATATCTACTGTCACGTCTGACCCAAGCCGACGTCCATATGAGACCCAATATTCAATTCTAGAAGGCTTGACCCAGACATAACCTGGAAGCATCGAAGAATATGTCAAAGAATATCTTTAAAGTCGTCCAGAATATTGCCTCACAAAAAAGGAAACATAATAGGATTAGGATTCTATTTCTTGTACACTTAATCCTAGCCATCCATTGTAATGGATAAATCCCATATAAAGTTAGCTAGTGGTATTCAATTGAGAGTCAAACAATAGAGTTTTTCTCTCTATCTTTGTTCTTTGGGTTCTTATTTCTCCTTGAGAGTTTGTGGGTATTCAAGCTTACTAAGTGTTCGACACAAAGGAGTTTTAATTAGTCACATCTGAGTTCTACTAAGAGCTGCCTTAACAACTGCAGGACCTCAAATGGAAAGAAAATCATTATAAACCTAAAGATAAATTTTCAAACTAAGTTTAAACAGATTAGGACCATAATATTCCCACCAAAACACTTCAGACCTACTAATTCATTGATTGCAGAACTATATTAGTAATCAACATACTATCAGTTTGAACTTTGAACCGTTGTTTCTCAAACTAAACAGAATTTAAACAATACAAAGAAGCCAGAGATGAACTCCTTACCTCATCACCGCCAAATTCAACATTCTTAACATTTTCCAGTATCAGACCAATGATCATTGGCCCATGTGTCACTCAAGTCATCTGTTGAATCCATCTTCAACAAGCTGCCCACTTCGCAAGACATAAAAATACCACATTGAGGACAACGCATCTGCCACAAACTGGTGATAGTTACCACAGTTGTGAAACTTTTTCTGGTTTGGTTGTGAACTAGCTCCGCACCAGCAAGGCAGAAGTTTTCTCTTGGGATCTCGATAACCCAAGTTTGTTTTGCTTAGGTTGCAAGTAATCTTCATGCAGGTTTTCAAGGCTCGGGTACAGGTTTCCGATGCAGCCAACCATGTTTGCATCGCGGAGAAGCTTCCTAGATTCAAAGAGAGGAGATTGAACAGAATGTCCACGAAATCTTTTCCGGCTTCTGCAAAGAGCACTTTGTTAGCTCCCTTGTCTATCACTAACTTCAACCTTAACTTGTTTAGGATGTTGCGGTTGTTGCCATGATTGATACTTGTCCATGCAGAGAAGAGAAACAGTGGCCAAATAGGGAAAAAAGATTTGTGACACTCAAGTTTGGTTCCCCTTCTTGCCAGCCATTAGTATTTTATATGAAGTGATATAGTCCATTTGTTTTTTATCGATATAAAATCGAATATTCTCTTTAAATTTCCCTTTCGTTTACTTCAACTATTAACTCTGCAAATGCAAGACTCAATTGATTCAATCTCTTCACCAACAAAATTAAATATGTGTAATAAGCAAGTGGAGTGGGCGGGTCTGGCCCGTCCAAATACAAAGGAATTGGAATTGGAACCGGACAGTTCCTTGGATTTGGAACCAGAACCAGAACTAGCTGATTCTGATTTCTAGAAGTTTGGAATCGGAACTTGAAACATAGGTCTTAATCTCGGTTCCGGGTACTTGGGTTAATTTTAGTTACCCCCTATTTTTAAAAAAATGATTACGATACCCCCAAAAAATTTAAAAAAATTATAATTTAGTCCCGATTCCTGTCCGGATACCAGGATCTCGATTCCAGTTCCGATTCACGATTCCTGCAGGGGTGGAACTAGAACTAGAATCGGAACCAGACAGTTCCTTGGATTTAGAACCAAAACCGAAACTTGCCGATTCTGGTTCCTAGAAGCCCAGAACCGGAACTTGAAACATAGGTCTTAGTTCCGGTTCTGGGTACTTTGGTTAATTTTAATTACACCCTATTTCTAAGAAATAACAAATAAACCCTCTAAAAATTACAAATACACACCCAATAATTTTAAAAAATTATAATTTAGTCCCGATTCCTACCCGGACCTCGGTTCCAGTTCTGACTCATGCTTCCTGTAGGGGTGGAACCAGAATCAGAATCGGAACCGACTGGTTCCTGATTTCTAGAACTGATTTCTAGAACCGGAACTACTTTGTGATAGTCGATTCTGGGTAGGAGCCGAAACCGGAACCCCAAAAACCCGCTGGTTTTGGTTCCGGCTGGTTCTTTTGCACACCCCTATAAGCAAGTATGTTTTCCATCATGAATACATCAAAGACTCTGTTTGTAACATCTACTGGAATGTAGAAATAGGGAAATATTTATTTTAATAATCAAACATGTATTGAAAACAATTCATATCAATCAGTCACTGCAACACCCTTGAACAATTTCTTTCGGGGGAACACAATAATGAGAGCTTCATTTGACTGTAAAGAAGTCTTCAGTAACTCCAGAATTTGAAATGTGCAGTGTTGACAGCCTGATATCTTATGATTCCTCATTTCCAAGGAAGACACTTGTTAGAACTGTCTTGCATTCCAAAGATGCCTGCAGGAGCTTCAGACCCTAACAAGAATGAATAAATACGAAGAAAGGTGATAAAGCAGTAACATATATTAAAACCTTTTACAAGTTTGCCCGCATCTAATAACCAATTACAGGATACAGTTGATGATCCACATACCTCATCCAAGCCGAAATCTACAAATCTCTCTTCAACTCCACGTAAATCCTTAACCTGAAACTTATTGAGCACAGTAACACAAGTTGTAGTAGACATAGGCATCACCTCCAAATCGTCCATCACCATGTACGTCAACCCTTTAACAAAACCTCTCTCAACCGATGTCCCCTTATCTGCAGACACTGCAGAAACATAAGGTATCTCAATGCTCATTTCTTTCTCGCAATCAGGACACTTTATGTTTGGAACAGAAGCTACATTGTGATAGTCAGGACACAGGAATAACTTCCGATTAATTAATTCATGATCAGACAGCAGAACCTTGATTTTACTGTCACATGTACTACACTTGTATATCCCTCTAGCCATCAGTTCATCATCTGAAAGCAAAATGGGGATACGAGTGTCTACCGGAGGCCTGGGACTTAGCAGGAAGGCCTTCTCTTGATTTGGTTGGATGTAGCAATCTCTAAGCTTTTCAACGCTCTCATAGATGTTACCTAGAGAGCCCACCATCTTATTCTTTGTTAAGAGCTTGACGATGGTTCCAACAGGCAAAGAAAGAAGGTAGAAGAGAAAATCTACGAAATCTTTGCCAGCTTCAGCAAAAAGGACCTTGTTATCCTTCTTGTCAATAATAAGCTTCAAATTTGATTTGGAAATGGAGTGTGCCATGGCTGATTTCAGAGTGAATATGGAAGATGACAATATGGAGACATGATAAAACTATATATAGCCAATCAAAAATGGATATATGCTGCACGCCAACAAGTAAACTTTTGTTAACAACATTTAGATTAGAATCATTGTTCTCTGCTGTTCTCCATACATTCCTTTACTTGTCTTTTAGGTTATGAAATCAATTACCTTGGTTACCAACTTTTAATATTCTTTCCAACTGGGAATGAGGCAAGCAGAAATTGACTTGTATCTATCATTAACTTGCATGTGCAGGATTCAATCTGTCATCATAACAAGAAGTAAATTATATGTAGATTAAGCAAGCATATTACCCATCATTAATACATCTAAGGGGTTGTTTGTAACACCAGCAGCAATCCAGAAACAGTAAAATACATTACTTATTTAAACAGAGAGGGATAAGATAATCAATAGCCTTGTGTCAAACTATTCCATTTGAATCAGTCACTGCAACATCCTCGGCCCCTTTGTTCCTGAGGAAGACAGAAGTAAGACCTCCAGTTGACTGCAAAGAAGTCTTCAACAGCTCCAGAACCTGATATTTAATAAAACTGTGATGACGAAGAAACTTCAGTTAATCTATACTGCAGCACAGCCTAATTACTAAAGGGTTTAAAATACTGAAGAAAGTTCATTGATGGTCTTTTTTCATGTAACCATATGCAACACTTATCTTAATGATTAGATCCAACCCAGTTTAGGCCATCGCTTACACTTTTTTAATTAAAAAGTTTAAAAATTATTTCATGATACTGAAATCAAAATTCAAATAATAGAAAGAAGCAAGACAAGAATTTCTTACTTCCTCTCAGCCAAATTCAACAATTCTTTTCTCTAGGGCACCGATATCCTTTAAATTCTCCTGTAGCAGATACCTGAGATTTTTACCACAAGATTACCACGTTTTCTTCTTTGGTTGTGAACTAGCTTGGGGCGCAAGGGAGACAGAGGCTGTCCCATGGGGTTTCAAGAGCTCAGATTTATTTTGATTGGGTTGCAACTTGCAAGTAAGCTTCATTCAAGTTTTCAAGGCTTGGGTATAGCCATAGGTTTCCTATGAAATCAACCATGTTTGCACGGCATAAGAGCCTGATGACAGTTCCAAAATTTAAGGAAAGGAGATTGAGCCAAACAGCACTTTGTTGGCTTGTTTATCAATCATTGACTTCAACCTAAACTTGCCTGTGTTTGTGGTCGTTGTTGGCATGAATGATACTTGTTCTGCTCAGGGAAGAGAACCGACAATTAGGAAAAAGATTTTTCAGGCAAAGTTTGAATTTTCCCCTGCCGGTTATTAATATTTGTAACATC